TCTCTCTCTCTCTCTCTCTCTCTCTCTCTCTCTCTCTCTCTCTCTCTCTCTCTCTCTCTCTCTCATGCACACATATCCTTGCCGCATGTCTTTGCTTGCATTGGGCAATGCTAGGCGGTCCTTTTATTCTCGCGCCTTGCAGCGTAACGCAATGCATTGTTTCTCGCGCTGTGCGGCACTTCTCTTTTTCCCAGCGGGTCACGGTACCGTTTGCAGGGGAACAGTGCAACAGGAGAAAGAGATGCCCCATGGGAGCACTCCATTGCTTGCGCCCAGCAATTTCACAGCAGTGTCCCAGGGGACACCGGCACATTGGACAGGTCATGAAGTGGAAGTGGATGGATAAAGGAAGAAACAAAAGAAGAAACATACACTCAAACAAGGGTATAATTGTCAACGGCACAAAGAGTTCACTAAGCATTTGCAGGGACGTGAAAGCAACAACAGGAACATGCAGGTTCCGGAGGGTGGGGTGGGGGGAGGGGGGGGAGGGGGGCAGAGTGGGCTGGGGGGCGGAGTGGGCTGGATTTGGAAGCGACGAGGGATGGAGGAGAAGGTCTAGAGATCATGGGAACAACAGCATGCCCAGTGGGCAGGAAGGGCTGAGACCGTTGAGCCCCTGAAAGGTGTGAGAAATGCTGGGGAAATCGCAGGGGAGATATTGAAAGCAGAGAGAAGATGCAACCATAATTGAGGGTGGAGGGGTGATATCGAGGCCTGAAGGATGTGGCGGAAGCCAGGAACGCATGGGAAAAAAGCCAGGGGTGAAAAAGAGATGAAACCCTACCCATCCAGTGGAATGGCTTGGAGACAACAGGTCATCAATACCCAAGAAGGTTTCAGCAAGCGTCCATTCAGGCTTACGACAACGGCACCAGGTCCTCCCACCCACGCAAGGCATAATGACAGGAAGTTATAGATCACCCAAGCTTCATATCTGCCATCATGAAGAACAAATTGTGAGTTTGGTGAATACCATCCATCAGAAGCGAAGGCACATGCATCCATGGATTATGGCAAGTGCGCACATGCACACACACACACACATGCCCACCCACCCACCCACTCCCTCACGGACCCACACACACACATGCCCAGAGAGTGGCATATGCCTACCAGCAGAGCAGACCCAGGAATCGCCAAAGTGGACAGAAACATGAAACACAAGGAATCGGAAGGTCCAAAATCAACCAACGATTACCAATCCAATTCATAGCGGATAAGACCGAGAGAGTGCACTTATCATCCTCAATCAAGATGGCAAGCAGGGTGGCATACATCGAAACTCCCTCCCTAGTCACACACAACCACTGGGTGAAAACATAGATGTCGAGGTGCGGAGAAGAGGACGAAGATGGAAAAGAAGGAAGGGCCCTGAAGTAACAGACGAAATCATAATCATCTCTCCTCAACTCGTACCTCTGATTGCCTTCAAAAACAAATGTCAGAGTATGAACCTGGGAGAAGTCTCCCTGAAATAGGCACCAAGTCACTCCAGTCTCTCTGTCTCTCTGAAGTTGGAAGAATCTCTCTCTCTCTCTCTCTCTCTCTCTCTCTCTCTCTCTCTCTCTCTCTCTCTCTCTCTCTCTCACGGTAGGCATCGGAGAGGCAATGGGGTTGCTGTGGTGATTGTTCAAACACACATCAGAATGACGCGTATATCGTACGCCGCGCATGTTGAGAATGCCGCCTCTATCATCCGACCAAATTGGCCAGGTTCACTGCTGCAGACTCTCTCTCTCTCTCTCTCTCTCTCTCTCTCTCTCTCTCTCTCTCTCTCTCTCTCTCTCTCTCTCTCTCTCTCTCTCTCCCTCTCCTGAGGTACCGTCTGGTAAAAGCTGGTGTCTTACGCAGCAGCAGACTGCAGCCCATCTATGGCAGGATGTGAAGTCACTAAGCTATGGTGTCCAGGTGAGTCCTCTGGTCAATGCCCACTGCAGACCGCTCTCACCAGTCGTCCTCTCCCCTAAGAGACTACTAACACCAGTCGAACATACTAACGCCAGTCTGATCTCCGCTAAGGCTTCTAACCTAGAGCTAACACACTAACTCCAGCGCTGCTCTCCAGCAGCCTGGTGCCGAACTAACTGTGTCCCCTGGCCAACTCCTCAGCAGAGCCATATACTGCCAGGTGACTACCTAGAAGTCTCACAGGGCCTCAAAAGGTCAAAAGTTCTCAAAACGTGTGTTTGGACATGAGGAATCTGAACTGACACTATCCGAAGACAGACAGGAAAACTGAGTATCTGCATCAGAGCTCAGAATGCAAACAAAACAGACAAAATAACTCACGCAGTCTAAATGAAATGAATGAAGACATACAAAAAGTACCGTGGTCAGTCATAGGGCCACAAGGCCTAGGCCGAGCCCTGCAGTGCCAGTGTGGAAGACCCATGCATATGATACACACACACACACACAGCCAGAAGTATATGCTTCGGTCTTAAGGTTCCGTCGAGTAATGGATTGTGGTTTCTTCTTTGCCCATTGAAAGCTGCAGTCCTTGCACCCACAGTTCCGGCTTCCGTGTGCTATAAGAAAGGAGGACAACTCTAAAGAAGGTTGGAGAATGCTTTGCATAGGGAGTTTGCGCTGATGCTTTGTCTTCTTTACACCTTCGTTTGGAGTTTTCGCAGCTTGAATTAAGCTGAATCACATCCATGGAGATTGCCACGCTCTGCCGCTCGTGGGATCTACATTACAGCCGTGTATGGAGATGAGAATTTCAATCTGTGAATTCATTGGACAATCCAAGAATCGGAGGTCGGGGTGGAAGGTGTGACCAGGTGAAAAGCTTCTCAAGCTCGCATTCAAGCCCCGTTAAGATTGTTCAAAGACAATCCTAGTATTTCCATCCTCGTTTCGAATGGGGAAATTCCAGTGGAGAAAGTCTCAAAGTATTAGCTGTCAGCCTGCTTGAAGACACATTAGCATACACACAGTAGTTCTTTCCACCCACAAAAACACAGGAGCACCCTTGTCAGCATTTACTGCAAGCACGAAAGGGCTGCCTGGACAAATCCATATTCAGAAGCCTTGTTAGCATGCATGCGACCTTTACGAGGTATAAGGATAATAATCATCCTTATTTATTAACAAGCGGTTGCCATCCACGGCCTCGCCTGCGGCGCACATCTCCCTCCCCCTTCCCACCCTGCTGGACCACCTCCCCCTCCTCCTCCCCATGCTGCTTGTCACCTCCTCCTCCTCATCCACCTTGTCATCTGCGACATCCTCTCCATCCTGCTCCCCCATCCACCTCCTCCTGCGCTGTCCTATCCTTCACCACCACCACCCCCACCTCCTCCTGCCCACACCTGTCTCTTATACACATCTAGATGTGTATAAGAGACAGCTCCTCATCCGTCCATACCTTTCTCCTCTGCCATGCATGCAGCTAAGCGAAAAAGAAAGAAAAAACACGGCATACCCAGAAAAGAAAGTTACTCCTGATTTAAGACCATAAGCCTCTCTCTAGTCAGCATTCCATGATGTATGCGGACCAAGTCAAGACCAAGCCAGAAACGAAACCACACATGGCCGACGTTAGGCACACTAGTCGGCCCCTGGCATGGCGAGGCAGGACGACGCGGGCCGCACAGTATTACATGGCACAAGTGATACCATGTGGCTCAGGTGGTACCATGTGGTCCAGGTGCACCATGTGGGATGGGGCATAGTGTACGGACACAGCCGCGCACAAAAAGAAACAATCACATACAAAATGGCCCTAACAAAAGAAAGACACAGACGGTCAACGCCAGGCACAACTGGGCCCTTGGCACGGCTACGCGGTACTATGACGGCCGGTTGGTATTATATGACCTGCGTGACAACATACAGGTCAGAGTATCTCTTCCATTAACAAAGTTTGAATTTTTTGTACGCACGTTGTACTCCATTGCACAGGGGTCGTATTTCCGTTGTACTCTACCCATGGCACCAGTGCCATGAAAAAAGCCAATAAAGTTTCTCAAAACCCTGCAATATATGTAATATGTAATAGAAAGGATCATTCTGAGCAACTTTTGCCTCAGACAAAAATCGACATTCGCAAACCATTTTGAGATTAAGAAAAAAAAAAAAAAACTATTTAAAAAAAAAAAAAAAAAAAAAACATTTTTGTACACCGTACAAACACATACAAAAAAAAATAAAAAAATCATCCACAGTACAGACACGTACCAAGCAGCAAATGCATACATTGCAGACATAGAGATGCACTGGCTCAGGTTGGCATGGTACCATGCAGAGTGGGCGGTACCATGTGGGGCAGGTCATGTATACTGGACGGTACTAACACACACACAGCCAAATAAAAAGATAAAGAAAAACAGACACGGCCACAAAACGAGAAAGAAAACACAACCAGCACAACTCAGCCCTTGGCACGACTGGTTGATACTATGCGGACCGGGCGGTATCATGTGGCCTCGGTGATACTACATGGATTGAGTGGCTCCACACAGGGAGGGTCTCCCGACCCACACAGTATCACCCAGGCCTTGGTGATACCATGTGGACTGATTGGTACTACGGGGGCTGGGTGCTATTATGCGGCCTGGGTGATACTGTGTGGGGCGGGAGACACCACACGAGGCATTGGGTAGCACCACTCCGGCCGGGTGGCCTTATGTGACCTCGACGATACTATATGGGTCCGGTGGCACTACATAGGCTGGTTCATATCATGTGGACAGGATGGTACTCTGTGGGCAGGCCAGCACAGTGCCAGGTAGACAGGAGATGTTACATTGACAGAAGAAAAGGAAAAAACACAAAAAGTGTTAAGATCTATTCAGATCAGAGCCCGTGACCCGGTTACTAAACTTTGTGTTCGAGTGAATGCCTTAGCTTGTGCACATCATGCTCGTATTTATATTTACTCGGCATTTCAATGGATCCACCACTAGCATGCTGGGAATGGATTGGATTCACTGCTAGAGTGGGTAGTCTTCACTCTTCTCTGACTCGCCACTGCGCAGTGCGCACCACCCGCTAATTCTCCGTGTATTCTCTATAGAGTCTATAGACTCTATACTCTATATATTTAGGAGAACCTCGTAGTGTCATCGGTTTATCATTCTTTCTTCATGAACAAGCACCTCCCAATTGAATATCTTTTCCTGACTCTTCTGGGCCTTTTTTTCTGCCAGCCTATCCATTTGGGTTATACTGCTCTGTTCCCTTCGGGGACCCAGCCCGCCCTTTGGGCACCCATGCGTCCCTGAGGGTGGGTTTTGTGGTAGCGCTGACCCGGTTTGCTCCTCAAAGTGTGTGTTCAATACCAAGTGGCAGCTCCAAACCCAAAGTGGTGTCTTTTAGTAAAATGACCCACGTGCTAACAAACACCGCCGAACCTTTGTGAGAGCGTACTCACACTAGCACGTTTTTACTTATTTCTGGATGGAATTACGGCCAGATGCATATAAGTCCGGCTGTAAATGCGGTCAGGTACATTTCAGATCGTGAGAGTGTGACTACACCCTGAGATTGTATTACAAAACAAGTTTGCGACAAGTGTTTCCTGCGATTTCTTGGACGGAGAAAACTCTGCTGACGAGCGAGTGGGAGCCTTTGCCAAGGTGGAGCACGCCAGGTGCTCAGAAATGGAGTCCTCCTCCCATGGTGACTATGTGTTGCATAGTATGGGCAGAACCAAGAATCAACCAATGTAGGATGAGTATAGATGCAACGGAAGTCTGATAAACGGACAGACTCACATAGACTGACTCACATAGCATCGCTCCACACACATTCAATCGTGAGATGGTGGGGTCTGAGCCATACATAGAAGATGCTCAGCCCCGTACACACATACACAGATGAATGGGGGAGGAGAGACGAAGAGGTGGGGGGGAGGTAGACAGCACCGAAAGTCACCGAGGTAGAATCTGATAGGTCACCGATATGGTAGTCCAAAATGTCGTCCAACAA